TTAGAGGAGCGTTGCAATAGATTGCAGGCTAATGAGATTCTACTGGGTAAAAATCCAGCATGGAGAGCAAATGAAAATGCCAAGAGTTGATGGGGTCTCTAATTAATGAATTGAAGATTTTTTTCACTGCAGAGTAGCCTTTTAAAAAAAGGGACTCTAGTGTGACTGAAATGGACAGAGCAATGGCTGGAGAGGACAGACATGCAGTCCTCAGTGGACCATTATGGACAGAGGAAAAGCAGAAGTGCAACATAAGAGTGAGAGAGACAGAGTTATGTGTGAATTTCTAATGTTGAGAGCTGACGTTGAAGTGGAACGTTTTAATTCTGGGGTTGTACTAGTTAGTATTCTAGCAGTAAGGTTTGGCTAATGGAGCCTGACTGTTTCCCTCATTCACAGGAATGAGCATGACTGACTCTCCTCACTCTGCTCTGCCTTCATCATCCCATCCCCCCCATCTCCTTAAATCCATGCCGCAATCACACTCCGCGCAGGCAACTTCTGCAGAGCGTCTACCAGCCATCAGCAAACATGAGCGTCAAAACATCAGCACAAACACAGTAAGTGTGTGCCGGCCTGAGGTATGCACGCAGGCCGAGGGCTACAGTCTGGATTTCCTGCTCTAATGAATTCTGTGTGAGCAAAATCGACAGAAACAAGCTGCCCGTTTTAATTTGAGAGTGAATCCATAAAAAGCTACAATAAAAAAAAAGTGCTTCTAGACAATTCTTTAGGCTCAAATTAGCTTTTTGAAGCGCCGTCAGTCTGTACAGTAAAGGTTTGTCTAGTCAAACATCATCAGCATCAACAGACATGTGTACACAGTCAGAGTGCTAAGTAGGCCACAGCATGGTATGTGACCCACGAGATGGCTCCATGGCCCCCTTTCTGTTTCTCAACCATCTGATATTCTGTCCGCTGAGGTGGAAACTTACCACTCTGAGCCAGAGGAACAGGAACTGAAGCTTTTGGTATCAGTTATGGGGTTAGGGTTAGTGATGTTAGATGCTCTACATTTTCTTAAAGAGGCAAATTAAAAACAGAAATCCTTGCTGCAGTCATTCATCCTATAAAATCAAATCACCTGAGATGAACTGCCGCTTCCCTACAAACAATACAGTATGTTCCTGTTGTGAAATTAAAGACTTGAAAATTGCTTTGCAAACGTGTTCTGCAGCCCATGCAGTTCTCTCACTCTGACGCTGCCGGGGAGAGATTAACATCAGCGGGATCTGAGCCAAGTTGGCGTTAGCTGCGTCTTCTGTATCCTACATTCCAGCTGTAGAGAAGCTGAGGGTTTTTTTTGGGATGAGACAAATATAAAGAAAGTTACTGCTAGAGTTGAGCAACTTGCTCTGTGCATCCAAACATTGATGCACATCATACTCGCATGATGTATCAACTCCAGCAAAGGTTTATGCAGCAACCAACGCACAACAGTTAGTTACCATCAAATAGTCTCAGATATCAAAGGGCTGGTTGTCTGAATGGTAATGGATGTTACAGCAAAAATAATTTGTCAACATTGATCAAGCTGTTACCTTGGAAACAGGTTTATAAAATACAACAAAGGGTACAACTCTCAGTCGTCTGCAATCACACTGTATGTTGCATGATAAATGGAAATGTGCAGATAAATGTGCATCATTCAAAAAACCTTGTCTTTTTAAATGTGAAGAAGTAGAAAAAGAAACAAGAGTTTTGTTTCGTTTGGCAACAGTCCAATTCAAGCCATGAAGTTGATGAACCAGTTTGGGGAGCCAAATGACTCATCAGATAATCAAAAAGTAATATTATTACTGTTCACTTGTTTATTCTGCTTAAAGAACTGTTGTAAAAAAAAGTAATATTACACTCAAGGTCATGCTGTTGTACTGAACATCAGCATGGTTGTGATTATCTGGCTCACAGCAGGCTGCATTGTGACCTTTGACCTGTTCACAGAAGAAGCAGAGTGGGATTTTCAGGCACAACTTCCAAGGTGCATGATGAGCGACAGGCTAGAAGAGGTCAAAAAGCAACACTTTTAGTATGAAGATCAACTTTATTAACAAATTAGACCTTCATCAGGGTCATCCTGGATGACAACAAGTGTTTCTGGAGCATGACCAGATCACAGCTGATGCTGATATTCACTATAACAGCACTGTTTTTTTGTAAACGCACATACATTGCACTCCATCTGTCTTAAAAAGCTTCAAGCACCCAGACACTAGGAAATGATATGTTTAGAGAACAATTGCAACAATGCACAATTTGACAAACTCAGCATCTTTTGCTCCTGTTTTGCATAGTTTTATTCTAGAGCAGATACCATCTCTCAGCCCTTCTAGTGAGTCGACAATGGGGGTAAATGTATTCCTAGGACACCTCTGGGCAAAAAAATAAACTATATCAATCCCACTGAGATTTGTTTCTCTGCAGTGCTGACTTGAGATGGAAGAGATAATGTGTGTTAAATTGAGCATGAATAAAGCTTTCTGTTAGCCTCTCCTGAGCAGCACTCCCAGCTCTCAGTGTCTGCACGGCCCGTCTGCCGCAGTGACAACAATAATCGCTTTCTAGCTAACCTTTGCTACTACAGCCATTACGACGCTGCTACATCCAGAGTAAGGTCAACTTAGTGGAAGAGCTTGAGCCACACATGCATTACTCACATGGTAGGAAACTTGCTCCTACTTGTACTCAAGTGAGTGACGGTTTTATCAAACTGTAAAAAAAAAAAAAAAAAGTCAAAAATGTTTCCACAAAAAAGTGGAAAACTAAGACAAAGACAAGACATACTAAACTATTTTTTTGTAAGCAACGCAATATCATTTGTCTGTTTCAGAGCGTATGTTCTGCATTTTTATGCAAGCAATATTTACTAGTCTACAATGTTACACTGATGTGGGAGAGTCAACAGCTAATAGATCCCAATGTTAGCTAGCATACAGAGTTTTATACTCAACTCAACATTAACTGCTGCTGCAAATCAGCTCAAACACAGCATCACAAAGATAAGCATAAAAAATAAGTATATGGATATTTGTCAGTTGTACATTGAATGAAAAAATATACAACATTAGTTTTAAAGGGTACAGCAGGTTGAATATACTCAGACATAAAACTCCCATAAAAATTCTACTATGTGCTCTCAGAACTCTGAGGTTGATACCTCCTCAGAGAGCCTCACAGAGCAGAGATTCACTGCAGGTTTTTACATATTACGAGCCCTGAAGCAGGCTGAATATAATCTCTTGCCCGCCTATGCCTTCTTGTATCAGATGAAGGCTGGATGATAGTTATTTTTAAAGACTAGCTCTAACTAGAAAGAAGTCAAAGCCAAAAGGAGATGCAGCACATAAAGCTTGGAGTCTTTAAAAACAGAGCACTAATTAAGTGTAACATTTCAAACCGTCTTGTTAAACTTGTCTTGGGGCTTTAATGCCTCGCAGAACCCAAAGTACACAAAAAAACCAATGTGAGTTAACCGAGGGCACTTAAACTGGACCTCGCTGTGAGAGTCGAGTAAGCCTGAAGAATTAAGCACAACACATAATACTCCCAGAAAGATTAGCAGTCATGCACAGGGAGCTCCGCCATGCTGTAGGAACAACATTTACCCACACTACCTTGAGAAATAGCCAGAAGGACACATCCACCATGCACCGCACACTCACTAACTGTCAGTATAAAGCTCAGCACTTTCAGCGCCGGGTCCCATTCTTACACATTAAACACGTCCTCTAAGGCTGCTGCTCAATCTGTCTCTCCTCCATCACCACTTTCCACTCTCTTCTATCTACTCATCTCATTCTTCTCTCTCAGGCCCAGACACAGAATGAGGCTGGATTTTCTATTTTCACAGTCTTTTCCTTGATGTGCGGTTCTGCAATAAATCAAGGACATCTTTCTCAAACTTGAAAAATTCTGAAGAATGCTGAGGGAATGTCAGCCTTGTGTGCAGTTGTCTTCTCATGAGTCCCAAAGAACTGAAACCTAACATGCACTCTGAATAAGTTTTTACATCTTACAGCTCTGTCAGAAAAATCAAGTCACAGGGATTTGATTAAACAGCACAGCATTGTACGTTTGAGAACGTTCTTTGAGGGACTATTTTAAGCAAAAGATTTACACCCTTTGGTAAACTTGCATTTTTATTTCAGCAGGAAGTGGTATGTTGGACTGACTCTTAATAAACCCAATAAAAGACAGAATATAAGAATATGCTATAACCGGCTTTTCAGAGGCCTTACTTGTTAAGGGGGAAAATGAAAGTTAATTTGGTCTTATCTTGAAAGCTTTTATAAAACATCCCCTCTTTAACAGAGTGAAACCCAAACAATAGATTCACAAGAATGTTCATATAACTTAAGTTAAAATGGTTTCTGCAAATCATCTCATTTATGTGCCTACACTGAGTTATTTTTAGCTTGACTTATGCATTATCTGTGAAAATTGCCTGGACTACGAGGTCTAAATATAGATCTGTGTGATGAGAAAGTTAATCCTCTAAATCCTGAAATCATGAATGGAATTTAAACTGCAGCTCTTCTCTCTGAAAGACATTCAAAGAATATTGTTCTCTCCGTCTTTTCTAGCGCCTGCTTTCACAGAAAGCACGTCATCAGCACACCAATGTGGGAGAGAACTGTAAAATATGACGGTGTCCATGGTTTCAAAAGAACATCCTGAGAGGATGTCAGAGACGCAGTGGAATAGAAGTGTGTCGTTTATGTGACACCAAAAGGAACAGGTTTGTGACAGTTAAGGAGATTAGGAGGCAGTGGACACAATAAACTGGAGGAACCCTGACATTACTAAAAGCTCCCTCCAATAGCATTCAATATCTTAACATCATGCAGTTGCCATGCCAACCTGTTTACCAGACTGCTGCTGCTATGATGAAAAGGGGAAATGCTTCTTGGCTACTGTGCAATAATGAAGAGTCCCAATTCCACATTAGTATTCTCGTCAAGAAATTTGCCTGGCCAATGGCGGGATTTTTACCAACTCACCGAGATGTCAAAGAGCTCCTCTGTGTCGTCTAACATGCGGACCCTTATGGTGACATGTCTACCGGGGGGCATGGCCGGGGGTCTGTGTCCAGGGTCCAGTGTACTGATGCCAAGAGTCTCTGGGGCTCCAAGACGCTGCCCTGCTCCTTGGGCGGTTGGCACGGGGTCTTGCTCTGCCATTGTGTGCTGCAGTGCTCACTGCCTGGCCTGCACAGAAGCAGAGTGGAGAAAGTCAGGGAGACAAAACTTGTAGTTTCATTCATTTTCCTCCATCTACACACAAACCCTATGAACACAAAATAATGCAGTTGAAGTGTTAGAAACGAACCTCCTCATACAGAGCATCGATGTATCAGGGCCCAGAGGATGGGCTGCACAACATTACGTGTCACACTAACAGGGCAATTGTGAATGCAGTATTTGCACTTACCGCTAATGGCTGATAATTGTTGCCTGTGGGAGAACCAATTAAAGTACAAAGAAAGATCAGAGCGTGTTCTTGATTTCAAAGCACAAATCATGCTGCCCTAATTTGATTTGACAAACAAATCAGGAGGCCACAGTGTAAAATCAAAGAGGCAATACAATGGCAATTCATGTTTTGTGAAAGTCGTAAAAGGCAGACATCAGGGCCAAAAACACAAAGACACCAAGTGCTCAGGTTTTAATTGGTGCATTAAGACAAATTCAACAGGACACTTTGAGATGAAATGCAAACTAAATGTGCAGCGGCCTTGAGAAACTAGAAAGGAAAAGTAACAAAAAAATAGAATGAATACTTTACATTCAGTTGTGGTAACTGACAGTCGAGCTCTCATTCTGTTATCTTTAAGCTACACAGAGGAATTGTAAAGAACAGTTAGCTTTGCACATTCCTTATCTCAGTGATTTTCATGGGTTTAATAAAAGATGGGCAGTAAGCTAACTTGATAAGGACAATTTATATTCTAGTTTAAAAAGGATTAACATAGAAAGTTTCGAGTAAAAGTAAGCTTAAGCATTTGGAAAACTAGCTAAGATAGCTAAAAGGGGCCCTCTGTAAAATGAGTTAGCCACAGGGTACTATCGGTTGATATATAAGTAGGCCTAAAGGCTACAACTATCTTAAAGCTATCTATGTATGTAAAAATGCTGAAATAGCTAAAAGTAAGAGATGAACTGTCAAAATACTTAACATTCTTCACGGTTAAGAAGCGGAAATAGTTAGCTAAAAGTAAATTATAAAACTTTGAAAATGCTAGCTCAGACTAAAGGATACTGAAAACAATGAACACAACAGTGTCATGGAGAAATAGCTAAAATAATGTACAAAGAGTAAGCTGAACGTAATGAATAAGAAGCTTTTAGCTTTTAGTCACAGAGAAAGGGTTGAGATGGTAAAGTAAAGGTATGAATAAAAGGTTAGTATATTTAGCCAAAAGTTATAGATATATTGAGCTAGCCATAGTCCTTAAATGGTATAACTAAACTAAAACAACGGATAACAAGTTGAAACAAAAAGAAAAGACCCTAATGGATAATAAGCCTAAAGCAATGGCAAAATGTTGAAATTCTTCAAATAAATGCTACACTGATCAAATAAATAGCTAAAAGTAATAGCTTAACTGTTGGCCATATGAAGATTATTATTTTAGAGTAGGCCTACTTTGTAACGGATACTGGCTACTATTTGGAAAATGTACTTATTACACTTGAAATAATGGTATAATTAACTTTAAAGTAATAGATTGGAGTATAAAGCTATGAATAAAAGGACAAATATCTATATTTTACTATTATGTATGTATACATTGTATGTATAGCTAGCCCTGCCATGTCCAAATCAAGGTCTATGTTCAGAATCTGTGTAAGACTGATGTGTTTTGCCCCCCCCCCCCCCCCGCCGAGCTCTAAGGCCAGTGGGCAAGTTGTTCAGACACTGCAGAGGTGAGTGACTGCTGCCAAGTTAAAGCTGACCGCTGAATAAGGCGTTTAAAAGGAGAGGATAGAGTAATCCAGGAAGAGTGCATGGAAGAGAAAAATAGGCCAAGGACAGGGGATACACTTCTTTCTGTCTGGTGATGGTCTATGATGCACAGGGGACACAGAGGAACACTGCAGACTGTAATTTGGATGGATGTGCGGTAAAAACAGATACCACAGGCTGCCATTAAGAGCAACAAATATTGATTATTTTCATTACTAATCAATTACTTTGCAACTGACTGACTAATTGATCACACTGTATGTAATACATTGTAAAAATATTTCATCACACTGTTCCAGAGCTTTGTTGACCGTCACGTAACTTCTTTTGTCCGTCCAATGATCCAAAAAACTTCAAAGGTATCCAAATATGTAAAAGACATTGTCATTGAAGTGATATAAAATGGAAAAAAAAAGCAAATATCCCAGATTTTGGCACCTTGAAACAGCAAATATTATGAATGCTGGCTTGGTTCATGACAGAAACAAACAATGCATTACTTTCACTTTGCTGTTAGTCTGCATATCAATGTCCTGATGATATTTGTTTCCATTAACTGACAGGGTTTGAGGCTTATGGCTGGTTCTTAAATATCAAGATCTGTTGACTTCAAAAGCAAAAATATCTGATCAAGTCCTTATCAGCTCTTTGCTCTGATTGGACAGGAGTAATACATATCTAAATTAAACTTTGAATGTTTAATCTATCTGACTGTAATACATGTGAGGGTTGTGTTGTTTGACTTCCAGTTGTTCTTTATGAAATTACTCAGAACTTTGGAGACCTATTCATGCTAAAAGCCAACATTAGGGGCTCAAAAGGATTTGGGTTTAACGGGCACATTCAGGAACATAACTATAAACTTCTCACCACAAGAGCAAAAGTTTGTATAGAGAGCCCATTCTTCTCATTTGCACCTGTGTACACTGATGTCACAGGACAGTGGGTACATGATGTTGGAGTTCTTCAGCTGCACAGCACACAAACACTCCCCAGGGCTGATGGAAACCAGACCAAACGCTCTCACAGGGAATGGAAACACAAACATATTTTCATTGAAAGCCCAGTCATTTACGACAAGTGATCCTCTCTCAGACATCGCTCTGCGGCCCTCGCCTTGTTAAGTGACATTGTGTCATGCAGAGTCTGAAAATTCAAGACCTATTTGACCTGTGCATGCATGCTGTGTAACCAGACACTGTTCAAACAAAGCGGCAGTGAAACAGAGGACAGTGAAAGAGAAGACAGTGATTATTTCAGCCAACACGTAGCCTTCCCTGCACCAGGCATCATTTATCAAACAGGCTGGGTGTGTGTACCTCTGAATAGGTAACTCAGATCCCAACAAAACACATTTATAATAATTTATACTTTATTAATCCTGCAAGGGGAAATTCAGTTTTACACTCTGTCTAATGAACATGCTACACACACATAGGCTGAAATACACACACATGCACAAACAGGATTCTATGGAGATGCATTAATGGAGAGACGTCAGAGTGAGGGGGGGCTGCCCACAGCGAGCACTCCAGAGCAGTTTTGGGGTTTGGTGCCTTGCTCAAGGGAACCTCGGCAGTGCTCAGGAAGTGGACTGGCACCTCTCCAGCTACCAGACCAACTTCCAGACTTGGTCCATGCCGGGACTTGAGCCGGCGACCCTCCGATTCCCAACCCAAGTCCCTACAGACTGAGCTACTGCCGCCCCCATTTAGTGTCCAAATGTGCAGCTGGCACCTTATTCTCCAGGGTGTCAGAGCTGGGGGGACATTTACAGACCCCTGAGTGTTTCTCAGACTGTCTTTGAACTTGTTTGCTTGAAATTCCCCACAAGTGTGTAACATGGAGCTGTGACTGCTGGCTTAGGGTCTCTGTGGCTGTAACAGTGGCTCCTCTGTGCAGGGGCACAAAGGGCCCCTTGCTGCGGTCCAGCTGCGCACAGCTGGAATCTTTTAGTGACAGCTGAATGGCCAGAGGGCCGAGGCTGATAAAGCCGACTGTATATCTACCTGAGGGGAAGCTCCAAACAAAAAAAGAGCTCAATTTCCTGTGTGCTCTGCCACAGACACTGATACCTGGGTGTGGCTGGCATTGCCTGAATCACTTTAAGTTCACACTGTATTTCAGGCAACAACATGTGTTCATTAAGGGGAAAGAATGACAACCAACAGGATACATGCCTGTTGGAACCAAAGCTGGGCTGTCATTTGAGCCTCATGAAAAACAGCCTGCGTGATAACTGAGAATTCAGGGAAGAGAACGGTGAAATTAAGCAATCAGGGAGGGTTTTTCCAACTCACGCAGTCTGGTAGTATGTTCACACCGTTCATGTAATGTAGGTTAATGGAGCAAGCTGCATGTAATCCTCAGGACATTCACAGTCAGTACAGTGGATGTGACATTAATGCACTACATGGACTCACATGGGCAGCCAGTGGAAACTAAGACACAGATAGAAAATCCACACTTCCTGGATACATGTGGTTATTGAAATGTCACACACACACACACACACACACACACACACACACACACACACACACACACACACACACACACACACACACACACACACACACACACACACACACACACACACACACACACACACACACACACACAGAATGAAGCAGCAACGACACATCGGCGACTGCGGCGTCTGTACACACATCCATACAGCTGAGGTATATGTGTGCTGGAGGACAAATGGGACAGTAATATTCTCTGCAGATGAAGGTTTCACACACTGATAGTTATTTTCTTTCCCAGAAATCCAGAGGATCACAAAAGAACACGGCAAAGATACTCTCAGGACTTAACCCTAATCTCCTCAAACAAGTTGAATCACTTCCCTTTAGAGTGCACAGGGTTAAGAGAGGCTGCACGATTCTTACCCGTTCTCTGGAAATGCAGGCTTGTCCACGCGTTATGTATATCCCAGCTGAAAGGAGATCTTTTACATCCACGTCCAGCGGTACAGAGTGGAAAAAGACGCCCCGGTTGAGTTCTAGATGCAGGTCGGACCGGAGAGGAGGCTTTCTGCGGTCGCCATGGCGGACGACTGAGTGAGTGAGCCGGGGGAAGACACGGGATTACGCAGAGCCGAGCGGCGGATCCACTCCCGGTGCCTCTGCTCAGACAATGAAGGAGGTGCAGCACCTCCACCTTCTCAGCAGCAGCGCGACACAGAGCGACAGCACCATCTAGCGATGACTGCTGGAACAACCAAAAACCAGATGGCAAGCCACTTGTTCTCCAGCCTGTCTTCAGATGAAACAAATATAACATCCGTAAAATGAGAATATTACCCTCCTGTCATTGTTTAAAATGAATATTCAATAATCACCTCATTATTGGAAACTTAAACAACATGGCACAAACTATTACATTATTAAGACATTTAATATTTGCTCATGAACAGTGTTTCAGTATTATGAGAAAATATTTCTTGTTGTGAAACACTACGAATGTTTTTGTTGTTGTTTTGATTTAGGTATTTAATATTGAACAAATTGTTAACTCTAATTTGTCCATAGGTGTGATGAATGTGAGTGTGACTGCTTGTCTGTCTCACACCTGTCAGACCTGTCAGACCTGTAAATGACTGGTGAACCGTCCAGGGTGTACCCCGCCTCTCACCCAATGACATCTGGGATCGGCTCCAGTGCCCCAGAGACCCCGATGGGAAAAGCAGGATAGTTAATGGATGGATTAATTCACATATTGGTTGTATTAAATGTGCCTGGCAATACTAATACGACTCAATAATGTCAATTACTGCCACCAAATGAATTCTGTCACAAAACAAATATATTTCCCCTTGTACTTCCCATCAAAGAGGTTTAGGACAGAAAAATCCTTCTGTTTCAAACTGCCTCACAACTTCATACATTTTGTTTTATTCTAGCTCTCAAGCATGTCATGTCCAAAGTGAAGCCTGATATACTTGGCATCTCCATAAAAGTGAGTAAATATTCAAAATAAGTGATCTGCCAGTGAATTCTTCTTCTTCACTGCTGTTTTTAAACCATGTCTATTTGTACCATTGTGTAGTCAGAGGTGAGTTTTCAAATGTGTATAAACATTAAGAGTAAGAGCGTGAGCACACGATGTGAAGTCTTGTTATGTTTACACAAAGGGAAAAGATAAATGTTAAATGCTGTCAAACATTACCTAGCTGAAGTAAAACAGATACTGTCTTATAGTCTGATAGTCTATCCTCTCCTGTATATTAGTACTGTATGTGTGGCCTGTGTCATCTGTCTGTTTACAGAGACAGGATCAGTCTTGAAACATCCTCACACCTAGACAGCATCAGTTGCCAGAACATTCTGCAGATCAGCTGTAAGACACTATTTTTTTTAATTTTAAAACGTAATACTGTCTCACTATTATAAATGGAAAATGGCACATAGACACAGGCTTGAGTAGCTCTTTAGTCTTCTACTTGGACTACTCAGCACTCTTAACACCACAGGTCACATTCACACACTGGTTGCAGAAGCTGCTTTGTTAAGTTACATTAGTTTTACTCTATCCCATTCATGCACATACACACACTGCTGACAGTGTCAGCTGGGGATCTAACCCACAACCTTCCAGTTGAGAGACAACGATCCACAGCTGACGATACAAATAAAGCCTGTGGTGCTTCTTAGTTACTATACTACCACTCTGCAGTCCTCGACTTGCACTATCCACTTCTAAAAGTTCAAACTAGCAATCACACAAGTGCTGCTGTTGACCAGCGTCTGCTCATTAAGTTAACATCAGGACTGTTTAAACTACACCACATTGACACCAGCTGCACATCAGTTTAAGCTTTAGTCTTGTGACCTGACAAATGTTCTCGTGTTTGATGTCTAGAGGAAAACATTTGATTTCTTCTCTGTAATATCCAACAACCACTTGAGGATTGTTGAATAGCTGAAGTGTGTTTCTGATCTTGATGTGTTCGAATTCCTCGCAAAACAAAGAGGCCGAAATACATTTAACCAGGAGCAGGTTTAGAAACATTTAAATGGCTGGATTAAATTGTTTTTTAAAGACACAGGACACATTTATTAAATCAGTGAAATGTGTTTAGACTTGATTAAAATCCTTGTTGTTGGTACTTTTAAAGTGTGGATTGATTACAGCCACAATGATTATCCTTATAAATAAAATAATTCAGAATAAAAATGGTCTGAAAGGAGTAATGTACATAAATGTTATAAATGTACTTTGAAAAGCAATGGATGAATTCTGACAAAAATGGCCGAGCACTCAGACATTTTTAAACCCCGCCATTCCTCCCAAACTGAGCATCACGTGCAGATATTTGTAGTTATGCATCTCTTGTCTCTTATTATGTTGTAGTTTTTTAATTTCTTCACGGCTGTATTTCAAAAAACAAAACAAAAAACACTTTTTCGTCTCTTTTTTTAATTTGGGCACTTTTGAATCTCTTTGATTTTTCGCTTTTTTTCTTGTCACGGAAACCTTTAAAAAAATGTCTGTACCAGTTGCGCAATTCTGTAATATGCTTCTGCGTAGTGATCATTATTTTCTTATGAATAGCGGCCTCGGGGCATTGGCTTGAACACAGCCTCCACATCTCCCACTCCTCCATGTATGTAGCTGGGATGAAAGACAAGAATCATGTTGGGAGGCTAAAAATGCCATTATTTCCTTTTTTTCCCTTCATGTCTCTATTTCATGTCTGCAGCCCGCCCACCTTCTCCCTGGCAGGAGGAGATGTCTCCTACGCCTTGGTGATGTGGGACTGAAGATGGAGGATTCACACAGGGCGTCTTGGCAGCCTCAGTGGCCCTCTGGAGGCGCTGATTTGAAGCTGAGGATAACAACAGGAACATATCAGCTGTAGAGTGTGAAAATGACTGAGAGCTTCAGAGAAAAAAAGCAGGGCACAATGCTGTTTTGGATTAGTTATGTAAGCAGTCAAGATTTAGTGCCATGTTCTTGGTGAGCTCTCATCCAGTTATGTAACAAGAAATAATGAGAAAACACTGGTACACTTTTCTTTACATTCTTAGATTACATTTGATTATTTCATGATCTTTATTTATCTCCTTGTACTTTAAGCCTTCTCTATCAACTTAATACAACATGTTCAGCTTTTTAAACATATTAAACATTCACATTAAACATCAAATCCACCAGTACCTCGCAGTTGGAAAGCCCAATTCACTAACTTTTTAATTAATTTGACCCTTCTTTTCTTTTCTTCTCACAATTGATTTACCTTTATATCTAAAACATGTACAGTATGCACATATTCTCATAAAGACACCATACACTCTTAAATGTCCCTCATACTGTCTATTGAACACATCCTGGTCTTATGTAGCTTTGATCATTGGAAATCATCTCCCTGCATAACCCTGTCATGCTTTATTATCATTTCTGTGCAGCACTTTCATCCCACAATAAAAAAAGAACACTACAAAAAAAAAACTCATTTTATTTTAACACTGTGTACTCAAAGGGAAACTTTTCACATGGGACAAAAATCAAGCTTCAAGACCCCCATTAACACAACTTCAATTCACCCTCTGTGCATTTCCATGCACATGGAGCTTTTACAATTAAGGCCCTAAATATAATTCCTGCAAGACCTCAAATAGGAAACACAAGTTATTTGATATTTACTTGTATTCATAAATGGAAGTAAACTTCTCTGGGATAGTCTGAGTCAAGCTGGCTCCAGAGCATCACATGGCCAGCTTCACATTCTGCATTAGAGGGTTAGAACCTTGATGTTAGTGGATATTTCCTTACCTAATAAAGATGTGACACAAGGTTTCTTTTTAAAGACAGAGTCTGAAGATGAGACAGTGAAGCAGGAGTCGCCTTAGCACCCTTATCACAGAAACTGAAAGAGAAGGTTTTTAGATAAAAGCGCCCTGCAAATTATGGAAATGAACAAGTCCCTGTAACACCTAATCCACTGACAGCTTGCCCTGACAGCTGAAGAATCTGAAACCACACACTACTCGTGAAATACAGACACTGCCACAACCAACTGAAAGACGTATTTGTATGCACATTATAGTTTGATCTTCCCTGCAATATTAGAATACATAAAAAAAAACTCCATCTTTACCAATGATGCCAGAATAATTATAATAATACCTTTATTTATACAGCACCCAATAGTAAACCAATAACAGAACTTTGAATGAACACAAGATATCTGTGCTCAATCAAAGGACTAGCGTCCAGTAAAGAAATCCCAACATCCCAACCAGGAAAAGAGAAACTGGAAAACAGTAAGGAGAGATTTTGGAGAGAAAACTGGTAAGGCAGATAATAGAAATATTATACAATAGTAGACATTTTGTCTAGTGGGTCATTCTGCATTATGATTTCTTTCATTTTTGATACTTTAAGCACTTTTGTCCAGTTCAAATTTTGTATTTTTTCCCATTCAAGCAAAACATTAAATACTGGCCTAAAAATAAGTTAATTCTTGATCTTTCAATGGTTAGTAACTACTGCTTCTATGGTTAAGAATTAAAACAACTATACCTGTTAGAATGCATAGTGTAGTGAGTGACTATATTCTGTGTCTATTATAGGATAGAACTGTATATACCTATACAGTATATGAGTTTCTTAACCTTGACATATTTCCATAAAATCATTCATCTGTCTATTCATTTCACCTGACAGACACCTGAAACACAAATCTTAACATTTCCACACAATAACCTTCCCTGAGGGTGTATTCACCTTAAGAAGGGATGGAAGATGGAAATGAGATTCTATTTCTATTTTAATCTCTGCAGCAGACACTGCATCTCCTCCTGCCCTGTCACTGCTTCACACCAACTTAGAACACCAGGTCATTAGAGCCAGAGTTAGACTTTTACATTCCTGCAGCCCCCACTGATCCAGTCAATCTGGACCATATCTAGGCCCACACACGTACACACACACAGTGCACCAACTACAGTCTAACATTCAGGTTTGGCCCACTTAAAACCATACTGCTTGCACTGATACAGTATATTTCTACAGGTGCTGTAAAAAGGTGAAAAGTAAATGTCGGTTTATTTAAACCTTGAAAGGCTGTATACAATTTACAATTTTATACACTTACCTTACATGTTGTTGAGAAAACGTTTGTGATTACTTAAATGT